GCTATATTGATCATATATTTGTAATGTCATGCTACACTGTTTTGGTTCAATAGAAGTAATCTTCGTCACGGTTAATGTTACACCTTTGACTTGTTTGCTTTTGATTGAACAATTTATTATTGAAACCATGCTTGTTGTACACACTTAAGAATTCATATGTAATTAGAATATGAACTTATGTAATGGATTCATTATCTTAGTCATCATACTATCTGCTCATCTGATCATGTAACCTTGAAGCTCTTTGGAAACCTCACTGTATGCTGGTTAAGTGACCCTTAATGACCTCTATACTTTTGTTTACCAAGTGATGCTCTTGAACCTTTACCAGCTTGTCAATTGAGAAAGCTTCATGTATAAACTACCATGTTCTTTACTTAAAAAATGTTCTGTCAAAGAAGAAGATTGAATCTTGTCTACTCTAATATCTTAACCGCTTGAGCTATATAGGATCTAAAAATTGGAGGCTTACTAGGGTAACTCGATCACTCATATGCTTAAGTAAACTCATTAAGGTTGTTGATCGTCCCTCGCTCACCCAACCCTTTTTAATTAACCAAATCCGAAAACCCTACCTCATTTTCCACCTAACAGCTGCCCCAAACTCTCGAATGTCCTCTCTTCTATGAAAGACACCTTAGCATCCGCCTTCGATTTTCTATGATTCCAACCTAAATATGGAGTCAATCCATGATTTACTTACCTATTTTGAGGTACTACGATGATATATATGAGCTTGTGGTGTTACTTAAGTTCTTGCCTCATTTTGGCAAGAACTATCTTCCGAGATCTGGCTTAGTTGACTTTGATTTTGTGGGGATCTGGACAATGCTTCGTCTATATACATCATACAAGGAAGGGCCTTGATTCTTGGTTCGATTCTCAGATGGACCCAACTAGGGTTTGAGAATCTCTTCTCTTTTGCCGATTTTTATTGCATGCAATATATTCTTTCCTTCTTTGTGTTTGATAGACAATTTTTCATGCTTGTCTGCATAATTTGAACATTATATAAACCTCTTCCCTGTTCCCTTTCTAGGTCCTAAGACTATCACTTAACTACTATTACCACTATTATTACCCCATTTACTCTCATTCTTCTATACTTTCTGTACTCTTGGTTGTGGTCAGCTGAAAGCCAAGGCCACTGAAATTTGCTCTAATTACTTATCTAGTGCGAGCACTGCTTGGGGCTCGTTTGAAGCTCTTATAAACTCTGACGCCCTAGGAGTGTTGGGATTCCTGTTGCTGTTCTTATTTTGCTACTAGTAAGTGTTCAGGCTCTCTCTTAGTTATGTTTTTCCTTGTTTGTGTTCTTGCTTCTTAGTATCCCTTTATGTGGGCGTTCTAAGCCAATATGATATTAGGCCGACCTTCTGTTTGATTTTTTTACTTGTAATTCTTCATTTGGATTTGTGTAAGTTAGCATGATTAGAAGCTTTTTTTAGGGTATGACACTTGTTCGAAGTTGTGTTTATGAATACCTAATCTTTCGCATTGACTATTTAATGTTGTATCTTTACGTCTCAATTTGAACGCTTGCCCTGACGCTCTAATGGATTACTGCCTACCAAGAATTTGTCTTCATAAATTTCTGAACCCTTTATGTAAGGTTTACTATTGTCCTTGTCTATATGAATCATATACATTAACCAATATATGGTTTTAAGAATGGCAATATGGTGTCTAGCTAACTTTGTGCTCTTTAGTATTGCCTAGGTTCCTAATACAATTAGGTTTCTGCACTGTGCATGGTTGACTGGTTTAAGTTCTGAAATCTTTCTGCTCTACTTGACCTTAAGATGGCAATGTCTTCTACTACGATATTTTTGAACTAGGGAACCTTTATGTTATAATTAGCACAATTGAGATTCTTATTAACTGCTATAGATCATGCATGTCTACTTTTTACCATGTGTGATTGTCATCCTCTGCCTATGACTTTATCAGACCTTTCTCACTTAGATTCATAATTTTAAAATCCCTTTTGGACTAATTCTAAACCATGTTCTACCCTATATCTTTAGCATGTTCTCACCTGCTTAGTGATTTAACCCATGTTATTAGTTTGCCATGTCAAAACTACCATGTTGAAATTAAGTCTATTGATTCTCTTGGTTCCTGTTCCTTGCTGATGCTAGGCTATAATCTTGTACTTTAGTCATTTGTTGCACTCTAATTCACTGCACTTTACTTCTGTTGAGCTTTAATAGTTAGTGTTTTGCACTTATTGTGTGTTTTATGCCTTGCAGGAGTGATTTCGAGTTATGTAGATGTTGTAGAGCTAACTCAAGCTATTTGGAGTTTTGAGATATGAGTAAAAGCCCAAGGGATTAAGTCGGGATCATGTTCGGGGGTCGAGGACCACATCTGGACATCAAAAATCAAGGAAGCCGAGCTTTGAAGAAATTGCACTGTCACGATGTGTGGGGTGGAACGTGGTGAGACGTGGCAGTGTGTTTTTACTACCTGTTGAATTCTGCATACTCTCTGATGATCTCCACTAATGCCTCGCATGGCGCGTCGCCCATGCAAAACGCTTGTGTATTGTTCCTAGAGATATTGTCCCATTTCGGCTAGGAAATGGTGGTTTTGTCTGGGCCCGACCCTACTTGGTATAGATACATGGAAAAACGTTATTTTCTGGACTTTTGACATACTTTCGACCTAAGGAGCCTAAGGAGGAGCTGGAAGAATACAAGCACACATGATTTCCTCAATCCTTCTTCACTCAAGATCCGAGTTTGGATTGAATTTATATTTTCTTATTCTTTAATTATAGTTATGATGAATTACTCCATGTCTATAGAGTAGCTCTCATTAGGGTTTGATGGATTTGGTGTATTGATGATTTTGTGTGGATTATAACTCTAGTTTTATGTATTGAAGCGATTTGGATGATTTGATTGTTGCATATATATTTGCTAGTTCGTGTAATTCGAGAGAGGCATAACTTGTGATATCATTTTATTATATTATTGGTTGAGTTCATAGATTCTAGCGAGTAACCGAAAGAGGCTAGTTGAATCATTGATTAAAACTAGTTAGGAGACTAATCGAGAGAGGTTCTCCTAAAGACCAATCTACTATGAATTCTTACATATCTTCACATAGCATAAATTGGTTCATCTCATGATAGTTGAGACTTAATCGAGAGAGAGGAGTTTCTGCTAAACATTTGAATTAATAATTGAGTAAATTCGAGAGACTCACTTGAACATTAGAAGTGAATTGACTAGAGTAAGATCCCAAACAATTATCTTGCATCTATCCTATCAAACCCCTATTTTCTCCCACTGATAACCTTCTTTGCTTATTCCTTATTTCGATAGTCACTAGTCAATAGCTTTAGATTCTTAGTTAATTTTAATTAGTAATCATATAAATCACAACTGTTGATCCTCCTAGATAGAATCAAGCTTGAAACTACGAGAATGCTATTTAAATCCAATCCCTATTGATACGATATTATACTATACTATCTTTGATTAGCGAGCATAATTTAAGTGTGTATTTTACGCTCGTCAAATTTTGACGTCGTTGCCAGGGATTGGCAATCAATAGTATTTGAAATTATTTGTAGTGCTGATTCAGGAATTTTTTTTTCTTTTTATTCTTTATTTTTCTTTTTTTACATTTTGTGTTCGTTGACTATACGCAGGTTACGGGTTAAGATTAATGCATGACTCGAGCGTCTATGAAAGAAGTGCTACCATATGAACCTTCAGGAGCCACCCCGAAACTAGTAGCTGAAAAAGGCATAGAATTGGTCCGGAGCCACCTCGAAACTCACTCGAGCCCCTCGGGATCCTGTTCAATCATGCCAACAAGTCCATATACCTAATTCAAACTATGTAAAGGCTCAAAACACCACAAATAACCTAAAAACAAAGAATCAAAGATCAATTCATTATCTTAACCTTAAAATATTTCAACTTTGTCGAGCACGTCAAAATCACACATATATTTCAGATCACAACCGAACTTTGCACACAAGTTCTAATAAACTAAGAGAACCTATCCAAGGGTCAGGAACACAAAACGAAATCCGATAAGATCAAAGTCAATCTCCTGTCAAACTTATGAACTCTCCAATTTTTCAAATTGCCAGCATTAGACGAATATATTCAAAATCCACTAGGAACATCCAAAATCAAATCCGAACATACAAACCTATTGAAACCATCAAATCTCGAATCCGAAGTTGTTTACTCAAAAGTCAAACCTTGATCAACTCTTCCAACTTAAAGCTTCCAAGTTGAGAATCACTCTACCAAATCAATCCTGAACCTCTCGAACATCAGAACCAACCATATATACAAGTTATAATGCATCATATGAATCTACTTAAAATCACAAACCGCCGAACGAAATGCTAAAGCTCAAAACGATAGGCCGGGTCGTTACAATTATTATTAATATATAACTCAAACACATTTTAATATGACATTTATAAATATTAATTTTAAAAGATTATACTCATACACGCACAATGCGCGTTGCATACCCTATGACTAGTTAAAAATAAATGAGAGATGAGGCAACAAAGGATAGCAGTGGGAGACATAAGGGTTGAAATAAGGAATAATATCATGGTAAATATAAAATTTTCATCAAATCATTTTCATCTTGGAAATTAATTTTCTATTATGTTTCCTACCATTCAAAATAGCTTAGTATTTGTTTTCAAAAATTTGATCATTATAACTCTTCAAAATAAATAGTATACTCCCACGTTTCAATTTAGATGAGTTACTCGTCACAGAGTTTAAGAAAAAAAAAAGAGTTTTGAAACTTGTGATCTTAAAGTTGTAAAAACTTTGTGGGGCCGTGATAAAATGAGTAAAATGCACACTTTCAATTAGTCTATTTCAAAAATAACCATACATTTTCTGCGATTGGAAATAATTAACTTTAAAATTTGAGTAAATGTGTGTACATACTGCGATTTTATGTATAACCATACTGCGATTTTATGTATAAATGTGTGTACATACTAAAACACCAACACAGCTTTCTTGCTTGGACAATCCTACTACTCCTTCTCCCTCCTACAATTTCCACTCTTATAGTTAGGGTTTATGACATGCTACTCCATACAAGTACAACCCCACAATGCTTCAACAAAGGAGACGCTGTAGAAGTCCTAAAAACACAGCCTTTTACCATCTGGTACCCCGCCACCATACTCCGATCAACCCCAACCAGAAATGGTCAAATTTACGTTGAGTTCCAGACCCTTAACGAGGAACCTTCTGGACGCCGGAGGAGAGAGTACATTAATGCTTGTGATATACGGCCTACACCTCCAATTGAGCTTCACAGGTACTTCAAGGTTGGTGACAATGTGGAGGTCCTTTATGAAGGGAAAGGGTGGAGAAAAGGGAAGGTGAATGGTATCTTGGAGAATTCTATGTATTTGGTTTCACTTGTAGAAGTTGTGGTTAAAGCGGAACAATGGGGTTTGCGGTTTTCTCGAGACTGGGATGATGGCTCTTGGGTTCCTCCTCCTCTTCACCTCCAAAAATTGCCCCAGGTTTTTTATTATCTAATATTTTAATTTTAAAAGTAAATACCAAGTTACTCAAATTGGGGCGGAGAGAGTGAGAGTACTATATATGTTGAGATTAATATAGTAATTGACTACTTTATGTTTTAGCTGATTGCTTACCTTTTTTTCCTCCCATACCCTGCTTTCTCTCCCAAAGATGTAAGGTGGATTGTCTAAGCTATAACCAACTTGTTTATTCCAGATGAATGGCTGGTAGAAAATTAATCTTCTTTCCATTTCATCACTTCTTGGGCTGTTATTACTGTTTTATTCCATGAGTATTAATTTTGCTGTTGGTACTCAAGAGGGTGGACTGTGGGTGGAGGTTGAGAGTTTATTTTATTTTATAAAAAAAATCATTCAATATTATGAGTAGCATATGAAGGGATGTGTAGCTGAAATTAGATGAAACAAATCTTCCTCTTCTGTTATTTGTATTTACATATGTTTATGAATCTTTGGCATTGAACACTCTATTTTTCTTTCAAGATTTATCTGCCAGGGTATTTTGAGTTGGCATATCTACCTGTAAATTTCTTTCATTACACTCTTCTTATGTCTGATGTCTTCTTCCTTAGTCCTATTACACCTTTTTTACAAATAAGCGGAAAAAAAAAGTGTATTTGGGGATGTTTTCCTTCGATTATGCTTATATGGAATTTGCTCATAATTATACTGGGAATTATAACAGACCGTGCATTATATTCAATTGGGCACTAAGCTAATTATTCACTTGATGGGGCATACATTTCCACTTAATGTGGATTCCTTCCATTTTGTCATACTATGAAACACTGTACAAACAGTCTTTATAGTAGTTGTCATCTAGTTCTTTTAGATGTATCATGGTCTAAAGTTTATCTCTATTCATGTATATTACGTAGTTAAAATTATTGCGATGCAGAAATTTATCAAAAAGAAAAAATTATTACGATGCAGAACATACAAGATGTAGACCTAAAGTCAAGAGGGGTCAAACTCAGGATAAAGTGTTGCAGATCTTGGATGGGAACATTTAGCGAAGGGATGTCTGTAGAGGTCAAGCGTGATAAAGAAGGTTTCCGTGGTTCATGGCATAATGTAGTTATTGTCAAATCTGTTGGCTATGACAAGTATTTGGTCGAATATCAGACACTGAAAGCAGTGAACGGGTCTCAATTTCTCAAAGAAGAGGTTGATGCTTCATGCATCAGACCGTGTCCACCTGAAATCCATTCGTTTCATCCTTTTGAACCTCTTGATAAGGTAGATGCTTGGTTCATTGATGGATGGTGGGAAGGTCATATAAGAGAAGTTCTTGGTGGTTTGATGTATGAAGTGTGTTTGTTGAGCACAGAGGAAGAATTGGTGTTTGAACATTCTATGCTGAGACCTCATCAAGAATGGATCAAAGAGAAATGGGTTACTGCCAGAGAGGTATGTTCCTCTTCTCTCTTGTTCTTGTTGGCTTTTTTCAAGGATATTTAACAATCTTCTTTTTCTCCTTTTCTTTGTTGGCTCAAGTTTGATATGACAAGAAGTTCATCTGACATGAATTTGAAGTCGAAGGATCTGAAAATCAAGATAAAGTGTAGTGGAAAGACATCAGAACCCAAGTTCAGCAAAGAGATGAGGGTAGAGGTGAAAAGTGATGAAGAAGGATACAAGGGTTCCTGGTACGCTGCAGTTATTATCGAGTCAATTGGTCAGCATAAGTTTTTGGTGGAGTACCTGACACTAAGAACTGAAGACGAATCTGAGCCCCTTAAAGAAATGGCAGATGCTTCTGACATTAGGCCCTGCCCCCCTGTAATTGATAGAATTGACAGATTTAAAATGCTTGAAGAAGTTGACGCATGGTATAATGACGGATGGTGGGTTGGTATTATATGCAAAATCCTTGATGGCTTAAAGTACATGGTGTATTTTTGGACCACAAATGAGGAACTGGTGTTTGACCATTTCACTTTGAGACCCCATCAAGAGTGGATTGATGGAAAATGGGTCATTGCCTTCAGGGTATGACAACATAAATTTTTTACAATTGCTATTCATTTATTCTTCAAGAGCTTCAGCTGTATAAAGTTGAGATTATTTTCTTCCTCATTCCTATATGATTCACGTGACATGCAGAAAAAACCCAAAGTTCAAGTGAAGCCCGGACTTGGAAAACTAAAGGGACAGAATGGTGGAGTAGCCAGACGCACAAAATTTAGCGTTGGAGCAAAGGTGGAGGCGAAGAGAGATGAAGAAAGTTACCGGGGTTCATGGTACCCTGCTACAATTGTGAGACATCTAGGAAATGGGAAGTATCTGCTGCGATACCAGACTCTAGAAACTGATGATGAAACGGACCTCCTGACTGAAGAAGCAGATGCTCTTTGTATAAGACCTCCCCCAGTGACCCAACAACCTGACATATTCTGGCCACTTGATGAAGTTGATGCTTGGTATAATGGTGGATGGTGGGCTGGTCAAGTTTGCAAAGTTCTTGATGGTTCAAACTATACAGTCTACTTTAAAATGTCGAATGAGATCTTGGAAATTCAGCATTCCGATTTGAGGCCCCATCAACACTGGCTAGATGGAAAATGGATTGCTGCTAAAAGGGTATTGATATGATTCTTTTTTTCTCTTAAAGCAGCTAACTTATTAGTGATGTTATTAGCATAGAGCTGCTGATTGATGATCTGTTGTATATTTGGACATGGACTCCCAAATTGGTTTTTCCTCTACTCTCTGTTTCCTGCAAGCAATGAAAGTAGACAGAAGGGAAAAAAGAAAAATATAGGTGAACTTGGACATGCCACAGTAAAGCATGCAATATTTAAACTGGACCTTCTTTGGTCCTTATTGCTCTTCTCTCCTGGTGCTGGTAACTTGTACTGTGTCAATTCTCAATGTTGCAATCTCTCTATATTCATTCTGACACTGTTTGACATCTTGAACTAGAATAGACCGTCTTACTAGTCCAGAATGTGTTGCTTTGCAGGGTTGGATATCATGATCAGGGCAGGCAAAGCATGACGATATTTACCTACTTGACTCGATAGCACAAGCTCCTCGAAAATCTTGCACTTGGTAATTCATGAAAACATCAAAATGTGCACGAACTTGTTAAATCTCGAGTTGCCTAACTTGTATAGGGAGGGAGGGGGTTTATCTTTTGAAATATACATGTATAGTATGATACCATAATCTATGAACTTGGAAGAGCTAAACTGTCCATAACATCAACCTTTTTGTGAGTAACTGTTAGGACACATGATTTCTTAAGAATACAAGTTTATTTCACGTCAAGATCAATTTGCTTCGTACTTGTTAAAAAATAGTACTCCCTCCGTTCCAATTTATGTGAACCTGGGTATGGAGTGTAAGAAAAAATGAAGACGTTTGGAATTTGTGGTCCTAAACAAGTTAAAAAGGGGTCCAGAGTATTTGTGTAGTTATAAAAGCTTCTCATTAAGGGTAGAATTGAAAGTTTAAGCTAAATTGTTTCCAAATTTATAAAGTGGTCATTCTTTTTGGAACGGAGCAAAAGGAAATAGGTTCACATCAACTGGAACGGGGAGAATATTAATTAGCTTCAGATCAATTTCAAATTTAGTTGACAAGTTTCATTCTTTGAAATGCTTATGCACACCATTTCTTCGGTTGAGCTACCTTTCATTTTATGATGGTTATAAATGCCAGATATAGTCCTGTCGCTCTCTTCGTTGCATATCCTGACAAAATACAGTCACATTACAGACTAGGTTAAAACATCTTAAGACAGCTATTAGTTTCACCATCTACAATCACATTATCATAATGTACAATCGCGAGCTAAACGATCGGTAATAACTTAAGACTTATTTGTAAAAATAAGAGATGCAGGGCTTAATATTTTATCTTATCCATTAAATTATCACAAGTTAGATAAGAAACGGATGTCATATTGTACCTCGTATCATACCATGCGGTTGATTGGGTCTAATGTTCAAAAATATAGGATGACAATTGAAAGATATTATCTTTATCCTACTTCCCACACTATTATTTACAGACGAGATTATCTATCTCTCACTTATTTTATAAACTAGTTAATTTTCTAGCACCTCGCGCGATTACAAAAGAATAAAAATCTTCAATATTTTAAAGTTTTTTACTTCTCTATTATTCAATATGCCAAGTTGCTTTATATTTATACACTTTGAGGCATGTAAAATTTCTGCCAAAGACACACACAAAGGTCAAAAAAGAAAATAAAAGATGAAAAACATGAAATTTTATAACGAAAAAACTGTATAACATTTATTAGCGTTAATAGTATAGAGAAGAAACTATATAACATAAGTCCTTTAGCATTCCCTCCTATTTAAATGTTGCTAAAAAATAATATACATATTAAATACTATTAATAATACTAATATGTTTGGAAAATTAATATTGTTATTGATTAACAAGAAGGAAATACTATGGGTGAAGTGGATACATGGCATTTAAACGAAAGCAGGTGGTGATTTCTGAACACACCAACCAACACAAGATAGCAGTTGATATTGAAGAAAATTACATGGTATAAAGCAACAGATGCAACGGTGGTACATGAATGGTAGATACTGTCTTACTAGTAATGGAAGGTACTCAATCTCAATGGGTACAACCAACTAGTAGGATAAAGGCTAAGGTGGAATATTGCAGATTTGATATGGAACAGAATTAGGCAGCCCAAGCATAGATTCATTCTGTGGCTGAAGAAGCTATTAACAAAAGATAGAATCATAAGCATGGGAACTCAGTGTGCAGATGGAACATGTGGACTTTGTAAGCTGAATAATCTAGAAGATATGCAGCATTTGTTCTTGCAGTGTACATGGGCAGAAAGGCTATGGGAAGAAGTGAAGGAATGGATAGGAATGCACATTACAAAGCATGATGATATTTCAGGTACTTTGATGAAGATCAAGCGCAGGAAATGGAGCAAATTCAGGAAGCAAATGGCTGCTGCAATAATAGGAGCTGTGATATATAGTATCTGGCAGGGTAGGAACATGTTTTTTTTTGGAAAACAGAAAGTTCGTAGAGATATTGTAATACACCAGATAAAGAGCATAGTTATAGAAAGGATCCAAATATATAGAGGGGGAAAAGTAGCTAGGAGATGTAGAGATTTTATTGAGCAAAATTTGTAAATAGAGTGCGATACCTACTGCTGCCAGTTGTGCGAGACTGGTACTTGGGTGCTCTTAGGTGTATGTGTTAATGTGGTTTTGAAATAGTAATATTCACAGTTATTACCAAAAAAAATAAATAATACTAATATATTATAAGTGATTGTTTTTTAAGTTTAATGTTATTTATAATTAGAGGCTTTTAGTTATATCGAGTCCATCAGGCTTAAACAAACTAATTAAAATTTTATTTCCAAGAGAAAAATTACATAGCAATTCAGTTTAGCTATTTAAGGTCAAACAGCTGTTTCTTTCTACCTAGGTATGCCGGAGGGTGGGGGGTTGCTGGGCGGGTTGAGGTTAAACCCGCAAATTTCAACCCGCCCCGCAAAAATTATTTCTTCTTA